CGTACATATACTCTCGGTGGAGTTGGGCCTCCGATTCCCCCTCCACCCATTCGTGATCCAATACCTTCGCTTCGTCAAACTCACCCCCTGTCAGCTGATCCCAAACAGCCACTCCTACTTGGCTGGTTTCCTTTCCCTTTGTTGGAGCAAAGGCGTGGAGGCCACATTAGATCAGTTCTTCCTTTCCTTCAACCTCTGCCAGGGGGGTCACTCAAATGCTGGAGGCTTCACCAACCTACAGCAGCTCCCCGAGTTCAGACTTTTCGACGATGTCCCCTCGTCTCACAAGGGGTGGAAGGACAAATTTGCTACGTTCGTATGGCGGAGAATCCCTTCCCAGCCCCACTCCGTGATAGCTTCCGGAGGCATCTAAAGGCAGAGAGTGCCGCCTTGTAGAAGAAGGGGAGAAAACTTTCCAAGAAGCCGGAGGGATCCGAGAAACATGTTCTGATCAAGGTCGCCACCCTCCCGGATGAGCTTTATGATTTGGGCTTCCGTCGGTACCAGTTGATGGGGGGGAAAGATGAGAGATATCCCCCTATCGATAGGGTCTACCAAAGTGCTGGAGGTTGTTGCCTTGCCGAGGGCTCTCATTTTATACTTAGGATTTTTTTGTGTCTTGTTGTAGTAGTATTCTAACACTTGTATGTTTCCCTTGTTTCTCAGGACCAGATATGGATGCTAAGGGTGTGATTGGGAGTTTGATTTTGGAGGGGAGGGGAAGGGGTGTGAGGGTTAATCACCCCCCATTTTGTGTTTGGGAGTTTTTTAAAATGGAAGGAAAGTCTTTGGGGTTTTTTTAAAATCCTCGTAAAACCCTCAAACATCCACTTTTCTAATTCCCCAGAATCAGGAGGTTTAGAAGGATTAAACGTACCCTAGCTCCACAAACTACAATTCTGCTCTACGAACCCAGCTCTACGAACGACTCTCTGCTCCACAAATGACTACTGTATCCCGCTAGGAACCCTATCTTTTTCCCTGCTCGAAATTCTTCGCATGGAATCATTGCGGCTTGAAGTGGATCCTCTGCTATCGACGCCATACTTCACTATTTCGCCTAGAATTCTCAGGTATGTTCTGTTTTCCAAGCATTTTTCGTATTTTGTTGTTATCTGCTTCACTCTATCTCCGCTCAACATCTGGCCTCTCGGTCTCTCAATCGTATTTGATTGTATTTCGCATTCTCAGATTGATTCAATTTTTCTTTGAATTTTGTGTGAGATATGGATTTTATATTTGGTATTTAGCTAGTCATGTGCTTCTTCGCATGTTTTTTGCATGGAATCACTGTTGGGTTTTTAGATTTGAGATTTTTGATATTTTTTTGTTTGAAACTCCAGATTTCAACGAGTTTAGATACTGTTTGAGTCTTCTATACATCGATTGAGCAAGCATTTATTAACCCATCATTAATTACAGGCTTATTTAATAAACTAATTTCCACTATCTCATAGATTTCTTTTCCAAAATGGTGGTGATAGAATTAGTCGCTATTGTATATGTATGAGTGAGCTGGCTATCATCGTTATTGTATACACTGATTTAAAATGCCCTTTGCTATTGAGGAATTTGCCTCCATTATATTTAAAATGGAGTAGTTTTTAGTAATGGAAAATTGAAAATGAAATATGAGTGAGCTGGCTATCAGTGTGTGCTAAATGGAAAATAAAATGAAGCACAAATCTCTAAATATAACTTTTCTTGAGTTTTAAGTGGAGTTGTTTTGAGTAATGAAGAGATTAGAAGGTAATTTTTTTAACTTTTCCTCTAACACTAAATTTCTTGATTCTAAAAATTGCTAAATTTCTTGATTGATTACAACTACTGCATTTAAAACAGAAATTCAATAAAAGATATTGTATATTAAAAGTTAAAATACATGAACCAAGCTAAACTCCTTTTGTATCAGATACACTAATTGGAGGCTACATTTACTACCTTTAGAAGTTAATTTACGATATTCAAATTCAGAGAAACCACATAATAGAAGCTTGCTATCATTCGCTACTGTAGCTCATTCATATTTCATTTCATATTACCTGAGTTTAATTCTTGAAACTGCGTTGGAGGCAAATTCCTCAGCAGCAAAGGGCATTTTAAATACAGAGTGCAGAACCTAAACTCTATCAACCAACTAGATAGTGACTAAGTGTAGAGTTGGTTCTTTTTTAGCTTCATTTGGTAATAATCTACACAGTATACGAAGTATATATTTCAAAATAAACTTACCAGACCGTTAGTTTTCAGCCCACTTCGAGTAAAGCCCCCCTATAAACTATCATGCATTTTTACTTATTTCTGTTTAGTGGATTATTCTTATTTTAAATGAAATTAGATTTTTTGTTGTTGCAAATTAAAGTTTCTGTATTCCAGATTTCATATGCTCATTTTTATAATAACATTATGTGTATTTCCATTTTTTAAGCAATCTTTTAGCTTATTCCAAGATATATGTCATGTTTCCTTATTACTGTATTGTTTACTGCTCACTTTGCTTGTGGCCAGATAATACAACTACTCTTTTTTATATCATTTTGTGGTGGATAACTCAGAGTGTGAATCTATTTACCCATTTATATCATTTTGTGGTGGATTACTATTGGTGTTTGTGTTTAGTGTTTACTACTTTAGCTGATTCCATTGTGTGTAGGATTCTCTTTTAAAACGCTTCATATTATTTGAACCTAAGATTTTACTCTCATGGCCTAAGCGAGTCTAAAGACATTACTTCGTTAGATTTTGAGATGAACAAACAAAATACCAATCAGAATTTTTAATGAAAAAAACAGTCCCTAGCTAGCATTGTTAAGTGTTTGTTTTTTACTAGAAATATGTTAGTGCAGAATTGTTGGAAGAAATCTAGAAGTAGCAAGCTTAGGATGCACTTTTTCTGTAGTACAAAAGTCTATTTTCCCTCTTTCAATTTTTACTCACATATTATTAGAATTCTACTTCCTATAGATGGATGATGCACGCATATTGGATTTGCATAGAAAGATACAAAGACTGCAAATGGCTACAATTTATGTTGTATGCATTGTAGTTTATCATTTCATAACCAAAAGTGCTCGAAATAGAATACCAAGTCATGCTTTAATCATAGAGAGAGTGAAAGAACGAACTAAAACAATGAAAAAACTTGATACTAATGAGGGTCGTAAAATAATTAGAATGGGTCCAAAAGCTTTTATGGACCTATGTGCCATGCTACAGAGTGAGGGTGGTCTTTTGCCAACACAACGTGCGTGTGTAGAGGAACAAGTGGCAAAAATCCTCCATATCCTAACACACGGTATGAAAAGTCAAGTGGTTCAGTTTTGGTTTCAACGTTCCGGTGAAACTATAAGTCGCCATTTTCATCGTGTGCTTAAATCAATTATTGCTCTAGAGGGAAAGTATCTCAAACAACCGGATGGCTCACTGATACCTTCAACAATTCTAGGGAGCAGTCGATTTTATCCTTATTTTGAGGTATAAATTATTTTAATTTTTTATTTAGAAACATAATTTTCCGATAAAATAATTAATACAATAAATTCACGCTTTTAGGATTGTGTCGGGGCAATCGATTGTACCCATGTCCGTGTAAGAGTTCCATCAGCTGATGCTCCTAGATACCGAGGTAGGAAAGAATTCTCAACACAAAATGTGTTGGCTGCGTGCTCTTTTGACTTGCAATTTACTTACGTTTTGGCCGGGTGGGAGGGAACTGCATCAGATTCAAGGATTTTAAGAGATGCATTAAGCCGAACAAGCTGTTTGAAAATACCAGAAGGTAATTAAAATGTTTTTTATTATTACTATACACGTGCTCATATATAAACGTTATTAATAACACTTTTTAATAGGTAAATATTACCTTCTTGATGCTGGGTTTATGCTAAGAAAAGGACTCATTACACCATTTAGATCAACACGTTATCACTTGAAGGAATGGTCCTCAAGAAATCCACCTCGAACAGCTCAAGAACTATTCAACCATCGACATGCATCCTTGCGTAATGCCATTGAGAGATGCTTTTCTATTTGGAAGAAGAGATTTCCTATTATTGCGACTGGAAGAGAAGCACACTATGGCGTGAAGACACAAAATAGGATTATCATAGCATCATGCATTTTGCACAACTATCTCATGGTATCGGATCCTGATGAAGAGTTAATGGCTGAAGTTGATGCAGACATGGCCAATCAAAATGAAGCTCAAATTTCTAGTAATGTGGAACACAACGAGATTGAAGAACATACTCATTTAGGAGAGAACTTGAGAAATGCTATAGCTAATTCTATGTGGGCAGATTACATGTCGTGATGTTTATTTTTTGATTAGGAGTGAACTTGAGAATTGTTCTATGGTTGTTTCAAACTTGAAAGATATTTTGGCTTTTTGATTGTGTTGATTGATAGTTAAATGCTTGTCATTGATGCATAGTTTATTTTAAATCAGATGTTATTATTAAATTTTTTCTTAGAACTAATATAATGGATCTATAGAGATGGAAAGTAATGCAACTACCAGTTCTGAGAGTGTGAAGACAACAATAAAGAAGTACACGATGGACAGGGAGATATGGACAGCAGAAATGGACAATGAACTTGTTAATTCATTCCTACATCAACACAATGAAGGGAATAGAGTGAGCGGGACATTCACCACAAAGGCTTACATGTCAATCACTAGTGACTTGCAAAATAAGTTCGGAAGACCTTTCAAGAAAGATAAGGTGAAGGGGAGATGGAAGTTACTAAAAAGAAATTTTACAAAGTGTTATGATTTATTCAAAAATCTCAGTGGCTTTGCTTGGGATCCAATCTCAAAACGTTGGTTGGCTGAACCTGAAGTCTGGAAAACACTAGTAGAGGTACAACAAAAAGTTCTCAAATTTAACTAAACTTTATTTTTCAGCTTATTTTACATATTGAAATTATTATGAAATTCTAAGTTCTCTTATTTCAATAAAATTTATTTAATAGGCTCACCCTGATGCTGAAGAGTGGATGAGGAAACCGATTGCGAACTACGACAAGATGGTGATTATATGTGGAGAAGACCGAGCATACGGAGGGATGTCAGAAACCGGTGAGGATATTAGGAATGATAAATCATTTGGTGCAGATTCGATTGAGACTAGTGATAGTTTACAAGAAGGTGTCAATGATGTTGATGTCACATCACCTCAGATCAGAGTCCGAGATGAACCTAAGTCCAAGCGGCCAAAGAAATCCAAGGATAAGGTTGAAGATGGAGGAGTAACCGCAGCACTTATGACGATTGCTGAAGCTTTTAAGGATAGCACTTCTGCGCTTCGTGAGAGCACGTTAGCTTATGAAAAATCTCATCAAAAGCTTCCGATTTCTGAAGTTGAGCTTTGGAAGCTTTTGGAGGATTTGCATATTGAAAATCATTTGATCAACCGAGCATATTTGTACCTTCTCAACAATCCTGATATGATCAAAGGACTCATTGGATGCCCGAAGAATAAACAGAAGGAGTTGCTTATTGAAATGGTGTTTGGTCCACCGGCATCTACTACCAGGTTATCTTAATATGTTTTTAAGGACTTTAGTTTTTTTTAGTATACTATTAATTGATATTGATGTTTTTTTGGCAGTTTATGTTATCAATAATTTTGATATATGCAGTTCCTTTGATGAAGATGTTTGAGATTGTAAGATTTTTTGTTTCGTGTTAACTTTTAAAAATGATAGTTTATTTGATAATGTGATGAATGTAATGATGTCATTCTTTGACAAAGGTGGTAATTGAGAGTGTAAGATTTTTGTTTGTTGTTAAGTTATTAAAATTATAATTTTGATAATAATGGTAAAAGTGATGATAAATGTATTTCGTTTATTTAATTATTGCTTGCAAGTTTCGGATATTATATTAACGAATTTTTCTATTTGGTTGCAGGCCATATTAGTGAAGGCAAGTGTGTGTGAAAGTCGAGCTTATTTGGAGTGCATTGACTTCTTTATGTTATTGATTGGAATGCGCTAGATTATTAATATAACTGCAAGTACTTGAAATAAAATGTGAAACATAATACGCTGAGATAATGTTGTCCTATAATTGTCGAAGTTAATTGTCTTCTTTTATATTTTCATTTTTCATTTCGCTTTAATTTTTTCTCAAAAGTATGGGTATATAGTAAGATTTTAGATATTTTATACTTCAAATATTTTAAATATTAAACAATTTTTTTTTTGAATAAAATAATTTTTTGTTTGTTGAAGTGAAATTGAAATGTGAATTTAAATAAACATTATGATGTTTTACTTATACAATGAGAAGGGGTACATGTGTCATTTTAATTATATGTCCTCCAAAACCCTCCTCTTTTGCAATTTGTAACTCCCAAACAAGAGGAGGGAATTCCTTCCCATCTCCCTCCCCTTCCCTTCCCTCTACTCCCCTTCAAAGCCTTTCCCTTCCCTCACCCTCAAACTCCCAAACACACCCTAAGAATCTTGCCAAGTTGAAGAGGCAACTTGCCAAAAAAGGCAAGAAGAAGGAGGTTCCGGCGCAGCAGAGGGCGGTAGACGAGATATTCCCGAAGGCAGGAGCTGAGAATGATGGTGGGTCTTTAGTGAAGGCTGTCGTCGGTGAAGATGTCGGCTCTACTGCCGAGGGCTCCCCCGACGACGAGCTAAAGAGAAAGCGGGCTGGGAAGGCCGCGGTGCCCCCGGAGGGGAAGAAGCAGAAGAAGGGGGCTGCCGAGAAAAAGGAGGCCCCCATAGTCATTGTCGAGGAACATTCCTCCTCCGAGCCCCCGGCTCAAGTTGCTGGAATGTCATGGCCCCAGGAGAACGTGCAGTTCTCTATTACCAAGGAAACTGCCATCATGCACGGCACTCTCAACCTGAGGGAGTTCGTGAGGGGTGCCACCCCTTCGACAGATAAGTCGGTGCTATCCCGACAGGTAGATGATGCCCTCTGCTCCAAGGTCCTCCAGGTCTCGGTTACTGTAAGATTCTTTCCTCCCTTCTTTCCCTTAGTCAAATGTATTTTGCATATTGTGCGTAGTAACCTAACTCTCAATGCCTTCGATGTTCCTCGTGCATGAAAATCTGGTGATATCCACGGAAGGCGTCGAGGAATGACATGATTTCGCATCCTTCCGTCTCGTCCACCAATTGATCAATATTTGGCAGAGGGAAAGGGTCCATAGGGCACGCCTTATTGAGATCTGTGTAGTCCACGCACATGCGGAAGGTGGGTGGTTTCTGTGCAAGCACTACATTGGCCAGCCATGAGGGGTATTTCATCTCTTTGATGTGTTTGATGGAGAGGAGCATGGCGACTTCCTTCTTCACAAAATCCCTCCTCTCGGCCGAGAGGGGCCTTCTTCTCTGTTGTACAGGTTTGGACGAAGGGTCCACCGACAGGCGGTGAGTGATGACCCTTCAGCTAATCCCCGGCATGTCCTCCGGCCCCCATGCAAAAACAATGGAGTAGGCGCGGAGGGCATCTGTGATGTCGGTCTTCAAATCTTCAGGGAGCTTGGCTCCAATCTTCACGACTCTCTCCAGTTTGGCCGGATCGAGCGCAAAGTCTTCTACCTCTTCGGCTGGTTCTGCCCTCGGCCTCTTCTCTTCTTCCTCCACAGTTCCGATGATGGTGTCTACTTGGAACTCAGTTTTACTAACCTTCTTCGTGATTTGAAGGTAGCAGGCGCGGGGCAGTTTTTGGTTCCCCCTTGAGTACCTGATGCCTCCTTCGGCTGGGAATTTGAGACACGGGTGCCTCATGGAGATGATGGCCTCTAGATTGTGGGCGCAGTCAGTGTTGACGACGACGAACTCCACTTCGAGCTTGGCCCTATGGAGCCCGTCGCCAAAGAGTACCGGGAGGGTCACCACCCCCTCGGAGTCTATGGTGTCTCCGGTGAAGCCGGATAGGGGGTCCGGATGGACCGAAGGCAACTCCTCTCTAGGTGCAGCTCCTTGAAAGTGCTGAGGTACATTACGTTGACGGAGCTGCCTGTATCAACGTAAGTTCGGTGGATGCTGGTGTTATTGATCTCACTTTGGATTACCAGGGCATCCCTATGAAGCGAGGAAACCGGGGGGAGATCGGCGTTGATGAACATAATGGGCTCCTCCCTCAGCCTCTTTACGGGGGGCATGTGAGTGACTTCCCCCACGTAAAGCGACTGTGCCCACTTCTTCCTTTGGCTGGTGGAGTCGCCCCCCCCCCCCCCCCCCCCCCCTCGTGTTGCCTCCAGTGATCATGAGGATGTGGCACTTCTTCTCCTGGTACTGGTTGTACTCTTCCTCCTCATCGAGGTTCTCGATCTCCCTTTTCTTACCCTTCGGGTCACCGAGGTGGATGGTGTTTGGGTTAACCCAAGCGTTTGCTTTCTTAGGGGGGCCTTGGCAGGGAGGACCTTGATGCTGAGGACCCCTCACGAATTGGGACAGGTGGCCCGCCTGTATTAACCTCTCGATGGTTGTCTTCAGTTGGTGGCAGTCATCTGTCTTGTGCCATTGATTGCGATGGAAGCGACAGTACGGTTCGTTGGGGTTAACAGCATACACCTATAGGGGTGCGCGAGAGTCACGCTCCACTAGGCCCATCTCTTCGGCGAAGTCTAGGATGACACTGACGGGGTGTGTCAAGGGCATCTGAGGGTGCTCCAAGAGAATGGGTTGGGCCCAAGCCTTCGGGTTGCCCTTGTAACCTCCCCCGGGCTTGGCTTGGCCATGCCGGGGGCGATCACCGGGGGTGCCGGTCCTCTGGGTTGATGTGGGGGAGCCTCCGGCCCCCGGTTGCTTTTGTCGTCCGCCTTGGGGCGTTGTTGCTCGGGGTTTTGGTGGCATTTCTCCACCTCCTCGGCCCTTATGTAATCGCGGGGAGGTTCGATGATAAGGCTCCTTGAAAAGTTCCCTGTGCGGAGGATGGTTTGTAGGAGGGCCAGGAGGGTTCCGTCGTCGCCGCCGTCAACCTTATCCGCCTCCGTCCTCCAGCGGTCCTAGAAGTCCCGAAGGGTTTCCTCCTTTCTTTGTCTCACCGTTAGTAAGTGGGAAAGTGTTTTCTTGACTGGCGCCTTCCCGCAAATTGTGTCTAGAAACGTTGGGCGAGTTCCTGCCATGAATCGATGCAGCCTTCAGGCAATCGGTTGAACCATTCGTACGCTGGTCCTTCTAAGGTGGAGAGGAACCAATGGAACAAGTATTCATCTGATGCCCCCACCATCATCATATTGTTCTGATATTTGCTGTAATGCTCCTGGGGGTCAATCTTCCCGTCGTAGGGCTTGATGAGTTCCCCTCGGTACTTTCCCGGAATTTGGGCCGCCAATACCCTTGGGGTAAATGGCGTCCTAGTCCGGAGTTGGATGACGGGTTCCTCGGAGCCCTCGGTCATTTTCTTCTGCATCTCCTCCATTTTGGCCAGCATGGCGGTGTACTTGGGGTCCGCCTAGGAGGCGGAAGCTGTTGTGTGCGCTTGACGGGCCTCCATCTCATCAAGGCAGCGTTGGAGGGCTTCAATGATTTCGTCCCTGTGATCCTTCGGGAGGGCCTCCGCCCCCTGCACACGAACACGGGCCGAGTGGGCCTGGTTGATTTGATGTCTTGCGTCATCGGCATGGAGTGGTGCCTTGCCTTTCTCTTGAGGGGGACGCCTCTTGTCTGCCCTTCAGACGGAACCTCCGCTTTCCTGAGGTCATTGGAGCGCCTTTCCTCTGAGGCGGTCTTGGAACCCTCGGCGGTCTTGCGCCTCTCTGAGTCGTTCCAGGGCGGAGGTCCGGGGCCTATCCTTGTTTGCACCGCATTGGTCCCGAGATTGGACCTCCTGGGATGCGGTATCTTGGGCCATGACCCCCTCGTTGTTCCCTAGTCGAGGGATAGGGTTCTCGAAGGGGGGCGGAGGAGGGGGAGGAATGACGTTCTCCCCGACCTGCGGCTGAAGTGATACTAGCGTGTCGAAGGCACCCGGATTCTGGGTGAGCATTTGGATGAAGGCGGAGAATGCCGAATGTACGTCAATGGTGAGAACCGGGGGACTCACTTGATTTTCGCTCCGGTCCCTCCTTCGGGTTTCGATGCCAAGTCAGCATCGGGAACGTTCTGCTGAAGCTGAAGACGCAGGTCAACAGCAGCCTGTTCCAACTCAGTGATGACCCTGCCCTCGGGAGCCATGTTGGAGGCTCCGGGGGCGTTGACTTCACCGAGGGCCAGGTTCTTGGACTGAGCACGAGTGGTTCTTCCCATTTTGGTAGGTGTTTTGAGCTGAAGGGGAGGGTTTCTTACTTGATTGTTCGGCCTCTCAATGAGAGCACCAAATGATGGATAGTGTACCCGGGGGTATCTATCCGAGGGGTTACTCCGGGAAGCAACTTAGAGAGAAGTCAGAGCGAATAAGTAAGAGAGAGAGTGGATTCGAATATATGAGTTATGTATTCAAAGTGTGTGTTACAAAGGGGAAAGGGGCAGCTATTTATAGTAGCAATAAATGCTTGATAGGGACACGTGTCAGAATTCTGGTGTTCGAGGAGTCACCTCAACCGGGGTGCCATTGGCACTCGTATGTGGCCGTATTAAATGTGGTGGTTGGATGTGACGTTTGTACTTGGTACCGTGATCCAGCGCATGTGGACGGGGGATTCTGTCGAGGAGGATACCTTCGGCTGCAGATGACAGTCTGAAGGCTCTGCGTACCGGGGGCCTCATAGTGCCGAGGGCCCCAATTGTCGAAGGTTTGATTCTCAAGCCTTATTTTCCAGTGATGTTGCTGAACCCAATTCTGTCACTGGTAGCCTTCGGCCATGTGGCCGAAGGCACCCTTTCATGCATCGTGGGCTGCTTAGAGCTCCATCCTGCTGGGCTTGGCCCGCTTGGGCCTGTTGGCCTGATTGTAATAGTGGAAGTATGTGGGCCGGGGTCCTTTGGCCATATACTCCATCAGCGCCGTATATCAACCCGATAGTAGCAATAAAATCAAGATGAAAATGATTGAGATTGATAACCTCAACACAAGCGGTTCATTGGTTTAAT